AAAGTATGCTGTACTTTTAAAGGTTCAAAGAGGGTGAAGATTTCCAGACTCTCCCATTCATTTCAATGGGATTTTTTTGAAAAAGCTGAATTTCTTAAAAAATATAAATGTTACAAAAAAGTTGAATACATGCCATAATGTCCTTAACAGTTTGATATTTGAATGGTTTTTCTGGATGAAAGTATGTTGGAGTTATTCAGCGGCAAAAACTGTGCAGAATAATACTAATAGGGCAACATAATGTAGTGCTGCTGACTCAGCATCCACACTATAAAGCTAATTCATTGCGCATGAAGGTAGGTCAAGGGGAGGACTTCATTTTTAACAGAGTCAGATTAGGACATTCCTGTCATGATTCTGCCTCTTCTGCTTCCAGTAACATGTTTTTATTCTGACACCACTTCCTATTTAAGGCTTCATTCCAGCTATGGACTCTTTACACTAATCAGTGGTAATTATTTGCACCTGTCAACACCCCTTTATAGGCAGCTTCCTCCAGATTGTTCTAACTCATGTTCAGACTTGCCACTGTTTTTCTTGTATCTGTTATTCCAGCTGTGACCCTGGATTGCCTTGTGACCACTGATTCCTGCTTAACCACTTAACTTAACTGTTTAAAACAAACAGAATCAGAAGCTTCTGGTTGTTTTTTTGTGCATCAATTTATGGACTTCCCTTACTGACCATTCTTCTTGTGGATACCTTGGATGTGTGAGTTTGCTGGTTCTGACCCTGGACTGAAATTATCGACCTGAGAGTGTTATGTGTTGAAACTATTGAGACTGTGCTTAAGTTGCACTTCCTGGTTGGAACAACCTCTGGTTTCAAAGACACTCTGTTGAATCAGACTCCTGCATTGTATACAGATTGATTGTGACCAGTGCTCTTATTACAGAGACAGTATTCTGCTTTTACTCATCTGGCCTTATAATTGAGTTCATCCTTGACATTATCGGCAGCTTTAGATGCCGCCCCTAACACATTCCAACTTAAACAGCACACTTAAAACAATAGGCAAACACCAAAATAGATTGGGACCATTCTGACTGTATATAGTGTGAAGTAATTGGTAGCTTCCCCAACATTGGTTTCTAGCCAAAGATCCTCTTGCTCTGTGGGTTATGTTGGACTTTCTTTGATTAGTCTCACTAAATCTTATTACTGATGAATGGTTTTTCATTTTGAAGTTCTCCTTCACTTGTTGTGTTTTGCTTATGTTGCTTCTTTCACTGGAAGGGGAGGGTTTCTCTCTGCTCACCTAAAATCTATAATGCAGACTTATAATATACCAGCATGATTTTGTGACAACTAGTTTGGAAGCCACTTAATATGCAACTTACATAATTGTGATGCCCAGCACATATACTCTGATAATGGAATCTTTGGAGTAGGCAATATTTCATAACCTGCAGTTAAACTTTTGAGATATTCTTTTTTTTTTATTCATTTAGGAAGAAGGTGTGTGTGTGTGTGTGTGTGTGTGTGTGTGTGTATAGTCTAATTTTAATAATTTTCAAAGTAAAAAAAACTGTTAGACATCCTCTGTTTTATGAGATTTGTAAATGATCACAAAAGAGAAATTTTCAGCATCAAAACAAGAAACTGTACGTTATTTTGCAACGGTAATTGATCGAATCCAGGAACTAATTCATTAAACTGTGAAGGCTTATATATTTTAACTCACTATAATGGCCTAATTAATAATTTATAATTATGAATTGTTGTAAATGTTACAACAAAATTTGTGGTAAATATATCTTGCACTTTTTAGAAATGAATTATAATTTAATTTAAATTCTTCTTATTACGATGGCACACTCCGGGGTGTCTGGACAGAGACAACAGACCTATAGTATTCTCAAAATAAAGCTCTCAAAACTTCCACAAATGCCCGCATCCCCTTTTTTTTCCTCCTCTTTCTGCTCTGCGACAAAGGAAGTTACGCAGGAGGCCACGCTCTCGCTTTCGACTGTTACTCTTCGGCTGAACCACAGTGGATATGATGGTTAGTAGCTGCAGTTTAAAAAAGAGGTGGGTCCACAGCCGGTGATGTGCCAAAACGTGACTGCTTGCCAGAAAGTCATTACGGTCCGCGGAAGCATGCGCAGCCTGTTAAAATTCATCAGCGGGTTTATGTACGCAAACAGCTGCTTTTGTCGGAACCAAACCATAATAAAATGCCAAAGTAGACCCAACGAGCTGTAGTAAGAAGGTATGTCTTTGTAAATATTTTGAGGAAATTCTAACTGAAGAGTTGTAATTATAGCCAAAATAAGCTGTCGTAGTTCAGAGTGTTATCTGACTTTCTTGAGTCGACCCTCTTGGCACATCCGTTCGAAACCATTTTGGACATTAATTCAATTGTGTGAAGTCCCAGACTTCCTCTCGAGTCCAGATAGTAGAAAGAATTTCAGTCACACACCAAATATCAAAGTGCATTATTACCTTTTATTGCAGATATATCTGGAGATCATACAGCAAGCAGCAGGACAGATGATCTGAAGTGAAATTACCACAACTGTGTGATATATACTATTCTTCCTCCTCCTTACACATTCCTGCAGCATGCAGCTGGAAATTATCATTACTTTCCCAAGCACAACTCCCTAATTCCAAACTAGTACATTCTATAATTAAATGAGCACACATACTGATAATGATTGAGTGAACACACACACTTCAACTAAGTGAAGGTTACATTCCTTATTAGGACAATTATATAAAACAGTGCTGATGCTTCAGTCTAAGTGAAGGTTATATTCCTTATAAGTACATAGAAAACGGTGCTGGTGCTTCAGTTACAATGTCTCAGACAACTTAATATTCCACAATTGTATGAAAGCATATAAAATTATTAGTCGGCTTTTTTATTTTTTCCACACTCCAGCCCAGCAGGTGGCGGTAATGCACCTAAAGTTGGCTGGCAAATCGCCAATAAACATCATAGGAAGAAGAAGAATTCGTTACTGAGGGCAGCGCTTTTTTTCATAGCCCACAAAATATGACAGGAGGGACGACCAGAGTGGTAAATAAGCCGTATTTCTAAATCGTTTCAGCTGGATTTCATAGTAGTATTGGCTAAAGTTAGCTAGTTGACTAACCGCTTACACAAATGTGTTTAGTTAACTCGCCTATCGTTAGCAATACAAGTTAGTGGACTGGTGTAAGGTGTTAAAAGAGCTGAAGCTGTTTTGTGTAAGATTAATTATGGCCTAACGTGAGTTTCTAAGAATATTTTTATGGTCGCAATGCTATATTTCACAGTTTCCCTTTACTTTGGTAACGTGGAGTCATTGTTTTTCCAACACTCTGCAGTAAATTCACTTTGCAGCTGTAATGGCTACACACACAGATGTGATTCATGGCTTCATCTCTGGGGGAGGATCTTACGAGCCAAAATACGTCTGATTGACTCATTTTGGATCAATAATTTGTGAGAAATCATGAAATAACTACAAAGCTATAAGGTGTCCGAATTACCATGAGTGCTCACGATGATTCGGACACGCGCAGTTTTCAACTCACGGTACTCCGGACAAGTTAAGACTAAGGCATTTCTGACACTAAATTTGATTTTTTTTTCCCCATTAAATTTCATTTAAAGTATGTTAACACAAACGATTATTCATTTGCTGATCTGTGGTGCAGCAGAATCGGCTTTATTGGCCATGTGTGACGGACACACGAGGAATTTGACTCTGGTACATCGCCTCTCAATGTCCAAACAGTAAACCAGCATAAGGCTGTGTAATATAACAAAATAAACAGTATTAACACCAACACTGACGGCAACAAACAGTGCAAGCAATGCAGAATAAGCAGTATAAACAGACAGTAAACGATGCAGACAACATCGAAATTAGATAAATAGAGCACTTCAAACTAAAGACCTGTACAAGCACAGAGGTGAAATGTCATGTCAGCTTCAGTGTGGAGATATGGCTGTGGTCATTTGCAATGGTTGACCAGATACAGATAAACTTGTAAACTTTAAGTGGAATAACTTTATAAAAGGCAAGTCCTAAAATGTGTTCTGACAATTTAAGAATAAACTTTATTTACTTAATGAGCTAGAACATGATTAAACGAACAGTTAAAGGAGTATTTTGCCAAAGCGTGATCTTCCCCTCCACCAACCGTCTAGTCAGAATCTTCCCCACCCACCATGTTCATGTAGCAGCAGGTGCACAGTGGAAACTCGCTCTTATTTTTCTCAAATTAATGTAATAAATGCCTCTTGGATGTTCAGATAGAAAAGGGACAGAACAATGTTGACACGTGTATATTTGGTTTGTGATGTGGAAGTATTTAGTTTAAAAATTATGTAAAAAGGTCATGGTCTGGAATTCCGTGATGTCTGAAATAGTGCGTCTACGTTAGACACGTGGCAGTGATTGTACATAAAATCGCCAGTGAATTGCACAGTGTTGTAATGTCAGTGTCAATCAGGTTAGACCTACACAGCAAGCAAACTTCCCCTGTCATTCACTGTTGTTATGCATTGTGGTGCAGGGGAACAGTCTTCTACTAGTTCTTTCTATTGTGTGAGTGATCGAGTTTATTTTAGTTTTCAGTGCTCATGTCCCTGACATTGCTGTTATCTGTAGGCTACATCAATTTGTCAGCTGTGGAGACATTTTGTCCCTCGGATGCAAGCAGCAAAGAGAACATCAAAATACCCTGCCTGGTTATATTGGCCTTGATCTACACTCACCCTCTTGCACACACCCACACACAGTATCTGGGCCTATCTGATATCCTCAGAACAATCAGTGACAGCCAGGCTCTATGTCTGAAGTACAGTCATGGCCAAAAGTCCAATACCTGTAAATACATATGGATGCATAAATGGCACCTTGATATATATATATATGTATATATACAGGTCTCTAAAAGTACTTTTTTTTTCTTTTCACACATTATTTTTGCTTGTTTGCACATTACTTTCTTTCCTTTCTGTTCTCTCAGCCTTATATTGTTTATTTGCCTATTGCTGCCTTTCATAAGGACAGGTGCATACACATTGAGAGCCAATGTACCAGAGTCAAGATTCCTCGTGTGTCCAACACACCTGGCCAATAAAGCTGATTCTGATTCTGAAAAATATTGGCACCCCCACCCCTGCATTTCTGCTCCCAGAAAATTGTTGCAATGACAGATTCCTTGGTATTCTCATGTTTATTTTCTTTTGTTTGCATTGGAACAAAACAAAAAATGCTGAGGGGGAAGTCAAATCGGATCCTTTCCACACAGAACTCCAAAAATGAACTGGACAGAATTATTGACCCCATTTACTTAATATTTGGTAGCACAACCTTTGGATAAAATAACTGAAATCAGTCGCTTCCTGTAACCATCAGTGAGTTTTTCTAGTGGAATTTTAAACCACTCTTCTTTCGCCAACTGTTCCAGGTCTCAGATTTTAAGGGCTTTTTCTCCAAGCTGCTGCTGCTTTGAGATCTCTCCACAGGTGCTCTATAGATTTAGATCTGGACTCATTGCTGGCCATTTCAGAACTCTACAGCACATTGTCTGAAACAATTTCTGGGTGTTTCTGAAATCTGCTTTGGGTCATAGTCCCACTGTAAGACCCATGACCTCTGACAGAAACTCAACTTTCTGACACTGGGCCCTACATTGTGCCCCAGAATTCATTGGTAGTCTTCAGCTTTCATAATGCCATACACACAGTCAAGACATCCAGTGCCTGAAGCACCAAAGCAACCCCAAAACATCAGTAAATTTTCATAGTGTTTGACTGTAGGCACCATGTTCTTTTTTTTGAATTCCTCATTTTGTTTACTGAAAACAGTAGAATGATGTGCTGTAAATTTCTTGACAGTGTTGATCACAGTGGACACAGGAACAGCCAGATCTCTGGAGTTGGACTTGTAGCCTTGAGACTGTCCAAGCTGTTCTCAAATCCTCGGACAATTCTTTGCTCTTCTTTATTTTCTCCATGATCAGCGTGGTCCACAGACACAAAGGCTGAGCCAACATTCCACCATATTAACTGGTTGCCAATGTGATTTCTATATTGTCAGCACCCGTTGAATGCTACAGGCGAGTTTCATTACAAATTAAAGGATCACGACAGGCTTGAAATACAACTATTTGATGATTTTGAAAGGGTGTCAATTTGAAAGAGTACAACAGTTTTCTGGGAGAAGTGGTGCATTATCTGATAGAAATGTAAGGGTGCCAATATTTTTGGCCATGACTGTATATGCTGCAATGTTCATATTTATTAGTGCTGACACTTTATAGGATGATTTCTTCAATCAGACCAAACTTTTGGCTTGGGTTTCAGTGTGTTTGACCTATGATATTCACTGAGGTAGCTAAACTTTTATATGGTATCTTGGTTTATCCATACATATATATTTGTCACTTAGTCTGGCGAGTACTCATTCTACTAAAGTTATTTCTACTTCCTGTCTCCAGAAGCGAGCATTAAGATACTTTTTTTTTTTTTTTTTTTTTCATTTGGGATTTTTTATCAATATTTTAAAAAAATTCTTCTTTCTCTCTTTTATGAACTGTTTTCATTTAACTATAAACTTCATAATTATTATACTTGAATTACAGGTAAAACTAAGAGCACCCATTTGTCAAACATCTCAGTTGCAGTCTGGATTAATTTATAGAGGCCAGTCATGGACTTCTCAACTACTACGTTCTTTAAGCCCTGCACGTATACAGTTTAAGAAACTGTATACGTGCAGGTGCCAGTAACACACTTGTACAAATATTTACAATTGACAGACACTAACTGGATAAAAGAAGCTCCTCCTACTCCTTCACAATAGACGAATGAACTGTATACCTTTAGAAAAAATTATATATAACTACTCCTCAGATGTTTCATAGACATGGGGATCTTGCATCAACTTCTCAGGACAGTAAATGGGTTGACTGGACCAAACTTCCATAATAAATAGAATTACCTGGGTTGTGTCCAAAACAACTCCCTGTTTAATGTACAGTACACCATGTCGTTCTCTCAGTAGTCAATAGTAACTTGAGATTTCAGACATTTTACTAATTGCCATTGTGCGTCATCACTAACAGCTATAGAATCATGCAACAGTAATGCAGAGCGTTGCATTGTGGGATTGTTAGCAGAAAATAGTCTACATTGCACGCATGAATTTGTAAGAATTTGTCTTTGGCTTCAGCTGTAATTTTCAGGGGTTTCTCATACAATGCTTTTCTTTTATTTAGTTAAAGTTGTGCTTGCCTCACATGGCTCTGCTCCGGAGATCTCCACTTCCATGTTCACCACTCAGAACAACCAGATTTTTCAGTTCTCACAGGTACCAAACACCAGTCAGGCCTTAATTGCCGATTTTCTGCCCATTCTCCACTGGTTTTATCCATGCTGACCCTCATCCTGGAAATGCCATCTTCATGAAAACAATCTGTTTCCTCCTTGCAGGGACAGTAAGTGCAGGGGGCTGTTACGGAAGACATTTGTTGGCATCTCTGTTGGTGTGCCTGTGGTGGTGGGGGTCCAGTACATTGTGTCAGAACCCAGAGAGAGGAGGAAGATGAGGATAGTGATTGAGGGATTTGGTCGCTTCTGCAGGTTAGTTTATATTGTTATCTACAGATGTATCATATCAACACTTTACAGGCGGAGTATGTGAGATTTATTGACATCTAGCTTGCAGATTGCAAAGCTCTCATACATCAGCTGTGTATCAGTTCAGTGGCCTCATTGTTCAAAGGATGCATTTGAAGTGTTTTACTGTAGTATTTGTCAACAGTTAAAAGATCTCCTATGAAGAAAATTATTATTGCAACTTTACTGTATGATCATTCACTATGCATTTATATAGTAGCCAGTACATGTGAAAGTGTTAGTTGTTCATAAATAGATTAATAAATACTAATATCTGCTAACACTGATGTTATAAAACATTAAAGGTTATATATTGCTTCTGAATACTGACACAGGGGGACTTTCTGTTACCACCACATCAATTGTATTTTGTCACTCACTATGCTATTTCTGTATTTGTTCAAGTAGTTTAAAGCTGGTTTATGTTTGGTTTTTTCCCCCTATGCACACAAATGTTAATGCTTTACTATTGGCCTCAACAGAAAATTGTTCACCAGAGTCAATAGCACATAGTCCATTGGTGATGGGGCAAAATCAGAATAAGTTACCAACTGAAAACTGAGGTAGAAGCGTAAAAGATAATGTGTGAAAGTACAGAATGTCATTGCTTTTAATCATCTGAAATTTACCTAGATGAATGAGGAATTATTTACAAAAATGATTAATACACATTTCTTATAAATAAAAACAAACTTGTTATGCTGTCCAAATAAATTGCTCTATTTCATGTTAAGAATCTGAGTCAAATGTGCTCATAAATAGGCCTTTGACTCCAGTGACAATACAGAAGTACAGAATACTAACCATGCATGTAGAGGGTAAATAATTATGTACAGGCAAAATGGAAATTAAAAAAAAAGTAAAAACAGAATTAAAACTAAGCTGTGGCAACAGACAGCTAGACCAGGCGTGTAAACATGCAAAGTTTTACAGAGGGAATAAACAGCATATTGGTGGTACAGTGTATATACAGCTATTACAGTCAGGGAAAAAAATTATTTGAACCCCAGCTGATTTTGCAAGTTTGCCCACTAACAAAGAAATAATGATGCCATAATTCCAGCCTTGTGTAGGTCCACAATCTTGTCCCTGACATCCTTGGAAAGCTCTTTGGTCTTGGCCATGGTGAAGAGTTTGGAATCTGGATTGATTGATTGCTTCTGTGGACAGGTCTCTTTTATACAGGTAACGAGCTGAGAGGGCTCCCAATGTCAGCTCGTTACCTGTATAAAATACACCTGGGAGCCAGAGATCTTGCTGACTGATAGGGGATCAAATACTTATTTCATTCATGAAAATGCAAATTAATGTTGAACTTTTTTGTAATGCATTTTTCTGGATTTTTTTTTGTTGTGTCTCTCACTGTTCACATAAACCTACCATTGAAATTGTAGACTGATAATTTCTTTGTTAGTGGGCAAACATAAAAAATCAGCTGGGGTTCAAATAATTTTTTTTCCCTGACTGTATATGGGTGATATGGTGAATTATGGCGTCATTATTGCGAGTTATTTAATTGTATTCCGAGTGAAACTTTTTTGGTAAGTGGGGTTGACTTTGTTGAATCTTTTAAAACCAATGAAGTTTCCCAAGCTATATGTAATTTGTCTGAAAATAGGGCTACTGTGCTGGACCGCATTTCTGTTGAACATCTTAAGTACGCCAGTCTCAGGTTGTCCCCTCTTTTAGCCATTTGCTTTACTGACTCTGTTATACACGGGTTTCTGCCTGACTCTATGATGTCAGTACTGTTGGTTCCTATGGTGAAGGATAAAGCAGGGAAGGTGGGCAGCTCGGGTAATTCTAGACCTATTGCACTTGCTAATATTCTTTCAAAAGTTGCTGAAAAACTTCTTTTGAATAGGTTTCACATTCTTATTAGCTCTACTGCAAACCAGTTTGGGTTTAAAACTAACCATGGCACTGACGTGTATATTTGCCCTAAAGGAATTAGTCAGTAAATATAAAAGTAAAAACTCTACTGTATTGATGTGCTTTTTAGATGCCTCCAAAGCTTTTGACCGATTGAATCATAGGAAATTATTAAAGAAACTGTGTGATGCCTAAATATATAGTGAGATGCTTGTCATATTGATATGCCCACCAGACTGTGTCAGATGGGATAATTGTATATCTGCACCCTTTCAGACCTGTAATGGGATAAGACAAGGTAGTCTGCTTTCCCCGATCTTGTTTAATTTTTACATGAATGATCTCTCTAATGAGTTAAATATGTGCAGAACGGGATATATGGTCGGTGGTATAGTTGTGAATTATTTAATGTATGCAGACGACCTTGTGATTTTTAGTCCCAGCTGAGCAGGTCTTCAGCAGCTCTTGAACGTGTGCTTAGTGTTTGAGGAACGTCACGATGTCAAGTATAATGCTGTCAAAAGTGTTATGCCGTACAAACGAGGACAGGTCCCTTGTATTTCCTTCTTTTAAGTTATCCGGTAAAATTTTAACTGTGTGCAATGAAGTTGATGCTACAAGCTAGTTTATGGAAACAACTAATATACAGTGCATCCAGAAAGTATTCACAGCGCTTACCTTTTTCCACATTTTGTTAGGTTACAGCCTTATTCCAAGATGGATTAAATTCATTATTGTTCTCAAAATTCTACAAACAAAACTTGTTCCAGAGTGCTCCTGACCTCAGACTGGGGCGACGGTTTATCTTTCAACAAGACAACAACCATAAGCACACAGCCAAGATAACAAAGGAGTGGCTACGGGACAACTCTGTGAATGTCCTTGAGTGGCCCAGCCAGAGCCCAGTGTTAAACCCGATTGAACATCTCAAGGTCAAAGGTCAAAGTGTTTATTTGTCATATGCACAGTTAGGAAATGTGTTTCCCTGTACAATGAAAGTCTTACTTTGCCGTCCACATGAATGCCACAAATAATAACACAACCACATGGGCAGTAAAATCTCATCTCTGGAGAGATCTGAAAATGGCTGTGCACTGACGCTCCCCATCCAACCTGATGGAGCTTGAGAGGTACTGCAAAACAGAATGGGAGAAACTGCCCAAAAATAGTTGTGGCAAACTTGTTACATCATACTCAAAAAGACTTGAAGCTGTAATTGGTGCTTCAACAAAGTATTGAGCAAAGGCTGTGAATATTTATGAACGTGATTTTTTTTTTTTTTGTTGTTTTTTTTTTTTATAAATCAAACAAACTTTTTTTTTCACATTGTCATTATGGGGTATTGTTTGTAGAATTTTGAGAACAATAATGAATTTAATCCATCTTGGAATAAGGCTGTAACCTAACAAAATGTGGAAAAAGGTAAGCGCTGTGAATACTTTCTGGATGCACTGTATATTAGTTGTTTTCATAAACTACACAGGCTGTATGACCAGCATTCACCATAGGTATTGCCAGAACAGACAGAGCATTTAATGCTATCACTCGCGTTCATGTAACGTCACGAGTCAAATCCAAAGCGTTGAAGTCCCAGTGAACTTTTTATCTGCTTTTCTTCAGATCTCTCTCTGTAGGGATCTTTATATCTGTGGATTACTGGTGGACCAGCAATGTGACTCTCCATGGCCTGGATGAGGTAAGTTCTGTGTGATGAACATAGGCTCAAGGCAGGCTTGGTCAAAATGGCTGGAGCTGCCAGACTCCTGGATGTGAAAGGATGATGAGTCTTTTCATTGTACAGGCTCTTCAGATTTACTTACATCCTACTTGTAGCTTAATGTGGCATTTGATTTGAAAAAAGTGGTGTTAGGCTATATCTTTGTTACTGCTGGTGCAGTACTGGGCTGGATGATGCATTTTGAAGCTCAGTCCTGGAGAATCCGAAGGTTGTTGATTCTAAGTAGCAGGGGATTAGCCGAGTGATTGGCCTAATAAGTCGGCTAATAGATTAATTGAACAACAGAAAATTAAACAATTGACTGACAGTTGAGTAATCAAGCAAAATGACTTACCATTCTTTGGTAAAGCTTTTTAAATGTGAAGATTTTCTGCTGTTCTGTTTGATATTTCTGGAATGAATCTCTCTTCTTTGTACATAAAAAAAAAACAAATCACTTTGGGCTCTGGGAAGCAGACACTTGTTTCTTTATATTTTGGTGGTTAATCCAAAATCAATCTTCAGAAAAATGAATAATGACTAACTGCAGTTCTAAAACCAGTGATTGATTCACTCATCACATAATGTGCAGCAAACATGATCAAACATATTTTCCATTGTGTTTTAGTTCAACCACTAAAAGACTCGCAGTTGCATCATTTGCCCAGTTTCAGTTAAAAATTCCTCACTGGTCTGAATGGTCCTTATTACATAACAATACACTTGGACAAAAAGTAGGTAACATACCTTTTAGTAATGAACACAGATATTAATGGGTGTCCCATTTGCATGGCACATGCCCAGTTCACATCTTGCCAGGGGACTGTGTTGCATGATATACCCATGTTGCCCCACGTTTCCTGTAAGCTTCTCTTGTACACTCAGAAATACTAAAAAAGAAAAAATATATAATATATGAGCAAATGTTTACTGTTGCTGTTGTGCTTATACTGTGTGGACAATCATGTCACCCATGCCCCCCCACCCCCTGCTAGAACAGCCCATTCTACTTGGCTGAGATGTCAGCCTGTCACCAGAGGGCAGCAGAGTATATAGTGGAGGGGGCTGCAAGGAATGGAGGACTATACATCAAACTCGGCCAAGGTCTGTGTTCCTTCAACCATCTCCTACCCCCCGAGTACATCCGCACCCTGCAAATACTGGAGGACCAGGCCTTGAACAGGAGGTACAAAGAGGTGAGAACAAACAAAGGCACAAGTTCAGTGACAAGAGGACAGCTTGAAATCCTCAGGACTGTGTTTGGTTCTGCAACAGGTGGATGCGCTCTTCCTAGAAGACTTCAACAAGACCCCAGAGCAGCTTTTTAAAACATTTGACTATGAACCTATAGCTGCTGCCAGCTTGGCACAGGTTCATAAAGCAGAACTGTTGGATGGGACTCCTGTTGCTGTTAAGGTGGGACCACACTCCACTATTTCCCTTTTTCCAGCTTTTTTTTTTATCTTGCCACTTATTTTAACATTTTCAGCCTGTTCTCAAAGCTCAAGTTTTTTTTCCTCTATGTGGGGAAATGTACATAAAAAGAAGGTCCAGTCATTGTGCAGATTTGTCATTACTGACGAGTCCAAAATGTTCAGCATCTATTAAAATCCTGTTGTTTTTGTCCAACTAATCCCCCAACAGGTGCAGTACATTGACCTCCGGGATCGATTTAATGGTGACATTAGAACGCTGGAGATCCTGCTGGATATCATCAAGTTCATCCACCCCAGCTTTGGGTTCCGATGGGTTCTTAATGTCAGGGAAAAAAAGAAATTGTATTTTGTGGTTGACCTTCTAAAAGTGATGATGAAAAAGATGTCTTGCATATTATTGATTGTATTGTAATGGCTGCAGGACTTGAAGCACACGTTAGCTCAAGAGCTGGACTTTGAAAATGAGGCCAGGAATTCTGAGAGGTGTGCAGAGGAGTTGAAACACTTCACATTTGTTGTTGTACCCAAAGTCTTCTGGGAGCAAACTAGTAAGGTGAAATGATTATTATTAATGGTACAAAACAACTGGGCTTCCATCTTTCCTATGGCCAAAGCTCATCTCATCTTTCTCTCCAATTTGAAGAGAGTGCTCACAGCAGAGTTTTGCAATGGCTGCAAGGTCAACAACGTGGACGGAATAAAAAGCCAAGGATTAAGCTTGAAAGATGTAAGTTGATGTACTGAGCACAACACCTTACATTCTGAGTGGAGCATATCGCAGAAATGCTGTCGGGACAGCTTTATCAAAAATTTGTCTTTCAGACAGCAGATAAACTGATCCGAACATTTGCTGAGCAGATATTCTACACTGGTTTCATCCATGCTGACCCTCATCCTGGAAATGGTGGGTGCATAAACCTACATGTGTGTATGCCATGAAGTTGATATGGCCAGTATGTAGCTAGAGGTAACACTGCAGAAGATGCTCTATGTTTGAGTTCAATCGGAACCAACACTACCATTTCAAGAATAAATCAAATCAAATCAAATCAAATCAAATGTTACTCCAATAGCAGTAGAGTAGAATGTAAGTGGAAATACAAGGTTCACAATATGGCTTAAAGTTCTACTCTGCCACAAACAAAAAGAAAATACTTAACATTTTGGTCCACTTTACAGATTAAGATTTTACATATATAACCATTTATCATATAAATATGATATAGAATAAACAGTAGTATAAATGAGCCTACCTTGTTCAACTACAACAATAAAATGCTACATACACATCAAAGTAATAATTACCACTCCTAGTGAAACATCTGAAAGACTGAGTATATGATACTTTAGGTAGATACTTCTGTGTGTTTCCTCAACTAATATTTTCAGTGCAGTACTTTTACTGGTAGTGGAGTATCTTTTAATGGCTAATATTGCTTTTGGATGTTGAGTTACTTATTTGCAGGAGCTTTAAGATCACAAAGGATCAGACATACTGGTAGTTTGTGGTTGGCTCAAAGCCTCTGGCTCTCCAAACAACATGGTTATAGTTATCACGTCTTCCATCTCTAGTCTCATTAAGTACATTAACTTAAACAGTGACTGGCTCCTTGTGTAGTGTCCAGCCATTCTTGCAGCTTTGTAAACTGGAACTTCAAGTTACCTTTATAGGCTTTGAACATGATGTGGTTTTCTGTAGGATAATACGAGATAAGGACATTTTGAAATGAGAGATGCTATATGCAAGTGTTAAAATGCAAAGCAGTAGCTAATCCATGGCTTTTGGCCTTTCAGACGTTGAACGCAAACCTCTATGAGAATGTGAAGATTTGGCCTGATTCACGTGTCCTCAATAACAGCGTCTCTGTGTTGGCAGTTCTAGTGAGACGAGGTCCTGATAAAAAGGCAGAGCTGGTGCTATTGGACCACGGCTTGTATGAATACCTCAGTCAACAGTAAGATTCGGATTTGTTCATGTAACAGAGACGTCTGAGTGTTTTGCCGTCAGTGTGTATACTGTATGTATCAACTGTGACCTTTGCCCTTAGAGATCGAGAGGCCTTATGTAAGCTGTGGCGGTCCATAGTCTTGCGAGATGAAGCTGCAATGAAGAAGTACTCTAATGCCCTTGGGGTCAAAGGTGAGGAAACTGCATGCCATTCTTGAAAGTAGCATGTCTGTAAAGGTTAAATATTGGGGAGAATTTGAGTATTAAAATACAATATGAGAGAATTTAGTTTTAGAAGTTACCGTGTCAGTTTTTGGATTACTTCTTAATGTGTCAAGAGGATTCACTTTACTGCTACACAACGAAATGGTAATTGGATGTTTGCAGAGTACTTCCTCTTCTGTGAGATGCTGCTGCAGCGACCCATCAGCCTGCAGGACTTGGGTCTGTCTAACATCCTGAGCAGAGAGGAGACGGCCTACATGCGTGACATGGCCATCTACCACTTCGAAAGAATCATGGAGGTGCTCAAGTCCATGCCCCGGCCCATGCTGCTGGTTTTCCGGAACATTAACACAGTTCGAAGCATTAACATCAAACTTGGAGCACCAGTGGACCGCTACTTTGTCATGGCCAAGAGGTCAGTGTCTCTTGCCTTTACATTACAGTCACTGTTAGGGGAGTGAAGGGCAGTTAATGGGCAAATACACCATCCAGTGGCAGAGAATTATCAGAAAACAGGGATTAATGTAGTTTATAGCAGCGACTCAGTGGTCACTTGGCTACATGTTGAGAGTTTCAGCCAGAACATGTCACAAATGACATTTAACCCACTCCCAGTCCTCTCCGGGACTTAAGCAACTATTGCATGGGTTGCTAATTGCAGTTCCAGTTTACTGAGTAAACATGACTAATCTGATGCACCGAGTTTATCAGCTGATTGCAAAATATCACTGGATGTTTAAATGTGATTACACGAAGGCCAACAAAGTATCTCATTCCTGGCAGAACAGCATTTAGACTGACAGCTGACTAGGTATCTAGTATTGCTCTGGAAACATTGTGCACCTGCAGCCAAATCACCAAGTTACTTGCTCCAGTTTTCCCAGTAGTTCATAATAAACTGTAGAACAACCACTGCAGTGGTGCTAGTACTGAGAAACTACTAATAGAAGCTACTCTCCCTCCATTAACTTGCATTATTAACTGCCAAGTAATAGATATTGATGCCACAAGGTAGCACTGTAGGCAACATTTCAGCTACAGAGGAATGCGTCATCTACTATGTTAGCAATGTAGATAACCTATTGCGAAAATTATGTTTGTGAATGTCACAAGTGTCTTTGAATATGATGTACACAATGTTGTATTGTAGTGCGGTGCGAGGCTGGGGGAAGATTCAGGCAGAGAAGGCAGGCATGCTGCCCAGGCTCTGGGTTATCAGCTGGGTTAGGACAACATGGGAGAGTGTCAAGTTTGAGCTGGCTTTGAGGTAAACACTCATCCAGTGTGCATCAATAGCGCATATATAGTTATTGTGTTTTGTGATTGGAGCCTCCAAATTGTGACTCTTCTACAGAATGGAGATGGCGATGATGAGTCTGACACATGCGTTCCTGAGCCTGCTGTCGTACTTTGGTCTTCTGTCTCTGGATGCTGACATGTACGAGTACCTGAGATAGTGCACCACTTCCCACACTCTGCGGAAACAGAGATTGAGGACCTTTTCCAGGCACAAGTTAATCCAACAACAAAGAGCCTTTCCTTACTGGAGCAGGTCCAAGTACTGCTACTGTCATAAGTGCTGCACCAAATCACATCGTCAACTGTGTCAGAAATGACATCTTCAAAAAGGGGTGAGCATGTTTTTAAACTTCAGCATAAAACATACTTCAGAGTAGACTCCTTGAGGCCCGAGTTGTAGCCTATGAGGTTTTTTTTTAATTACAAATTGCGCTTCTTTTATGTGGTATATTTACATCTTAGTAAAATGCCACTCTGAAATCAAACTAAGATATTTTAAATGGTAGTTTGTTTTAGAGAAACATTTACCTATTTGCCGTAGCAGCTGTGAACACTGCATGACATGGAGCCATTGATTTCTATGTGTAATTTGTAATAGCAGAACCAAGGGCATGAAACAAGCTCAACACAATGGCTGTTTAGCTGCATCCTCACTGGAGTGAAACATAAAGAAGGTTAAGGAAATTTTTTTTTGTTTCCCCTGACCTACTCCACCATAAGCACACACTGTTGATTAAAAACTGTGCAGTGCCACCTAGCCAAAAGTTTTTCACTTATTTAATAAGAAAATATTCTACCTCCTTTTTAAGCCATTCCTGTCTGTCACTGTAACCTCAGTGTGAATAAATTCCAAATACATTAGGCTTGTGAAGATAGTTGATTTTTTAATACAAAATATAAGAAAACATGGCTGCCCTCTTTTTTTGTCTAGCAGTAAGAAAAACAAAAGGGTTGCCCACATATGGCCATAACAAAATGTTTCCACTTAGTATAAAACAGCGTTCAGTGGAGAAGACATGGGAGTGTTGCTCTCAGAAATGAGCTGTCACTCTGTCGATCTCCAGAAGGTCGTCCAGGATCTACAAAGTCACAAGAAATTGAATCACAATATGAAAACTCATTTCCGTGCTTCATCTTTTCTGTTAGTGGACTTACTATGTCTTGTGTGGTACCAATCTTCTTGGCCAGCTCACTGCGCTCCATTGTGCTGAGGTACAAGTACTTGTTGAGGAGCTCTCCATCCAGGATGTTCCTCACAGCATTCTGCAGGCTCCGTCTGTCACTGTGTAGCATTCTGGACATGCAATACAAATGGGACAATTATATCAGCTACTATTAAGATGTATATTTACAGTTGAGTGCAAAAGCTTGCATTCCCCTTTATAAAATATTCTCTAATACTCTGTGTCCTCCCTAACCTCCCCCAACCTCTTTGAGCAATGTTTGTATCCTTTCAGGTGTAATTTTAGCCCGTTCTTCATGGCATACTTGTTCCCAAGTCTACCAGATTGCTGGGCTGCCTGCTATGTACAGCCCTCTTCAAATCAATCCACTGGTTTTCAATGATAGAGGGCTGTACATAGCAGGTAGACAAGTATGCCACGAAGAATGGGCTAAAATTACACCTGAAAGGATACAAATGTTGCTCAGATGGTATCCAAAGAGGCTGGAGGAGGTTAGGAAGACATACAAAGTATTAGAGAACATTTGATAAAGGGGGATCCAAACGTCTGCACTGATATGATTTTCATTATTTTACTCTGACTTTCTTTTTATACACTCCCTGATCACTTGTTGCTGAAGGAACAGTTGTACTGCCTGAATGTGCATTAAATATTATGTTGAGAAAAAAAAAAAATCAGTTTTACTCTTTTTGCCTTTTCAAAGTACAGGGCTGCAGGACTTTGCACTCAACTGTCTATTATCTCACTGTCACTAGTACTGTGGCGGGGGGGGGGGGGGGGGGGCCCAGTACGAGAAAATATCTCCTTTTTGAACAGTGGCTTCTAATGTGTGGTAGGTACTATAGGGAGGCACAAACCTGAAAGCCTTCGGGTTTAGACCGGCATGGTGAGGCAGCATGGTGGTGAGGGCATTCTGTAACATCAGTAGCCGTCGGTAAGTCTTCTCCTGCATGGGGAGGAGCAAGCCGACTCCTCCGTCTAGGGTTGCTTTGGGAACACAGAGAAACCTGGTTTACTCCACTTTCAGCACTTGGGTATGTGACGATCTGAGATGCATTTACAGGATGTCAGTTCTAGAATTGTAATGCAATTCAGAAAAGTCAAGTGGAACAACACATTTGGACCCAAGATACACTGATAGAGCCTTCTTTTATATCATCACAAACAAGTGATATTAAACCTTGCACAAATTATCAAAAGCCCACAAAACCACTTTAACTGTCTGATCACATAAAGAGTAATCTGGCAACACTGCTGTCGACATAGGTGGCTATTTCAGTATTTTCTGAGATACTGTTATTTAGTTTTGTCCCCTTCCCCTTAAGTGTAGATTTTGGTGACCATCCATGTCTACCATTTGAACATGAGTATATCCAACCCAGTTGGGCACAGGTGTAGGACAATAACAACAACTTGGAATAAAAAAAAAAAACTTTCCTAAGCAAATGTAGACAAGAACAAAAATAAGATGACAGATCGTAGTGAACAATAAATTCAACAGCAAAACAAAAAGAAAATCCTATGCCACTGACAATGTATCTGTCCTAAATATTTGGATATAGTTTTTTCCTTTAGCACTTCAAAGGAGATGAACCTTTTTTTCCTTAGATTCATGTAAAGGCTCACTGCAACCAAATTACCAGTGAATAAAAATAAGAACACAGGAGTCCTGGCCACTTACCAAACCATGTGATGTGCTTGTTGTCCCAGGTCAGAGCCTTCTTGCTGCCAGTGTCCAGGGCTCCTCTGCACGGCATCCGCCAGAATGTGTTAATTTGGGCTCCGGCATTAAAGTCAGCTCGCCTCAACAGACGCATTCCTCCAAAGCTCTCTTTAGCTGCAAACACAGGTCACACGTTATATGATTGAATGTGCACTTGATACTGAGTTACTTTACATTTATATATCCAACAATATGACTTGCCTTCAGGTAAATACATATATATGTAAAGGTTCTTGTCTCGATCTGACACTGAAATTAACAGAAAATTACAGGTTAATGAGAAGAGAAGGAAATGTTTTAAAAATGTAACTGAATGTTCTTCCAAATGGCATTGAAACATTACCCAAGAATCCAAGCTGGTTGTTATCCACCATGAATTCGATGCTGTAGACCTCCAGAGGCTTTGCATCCTGTGCCAAAGCAATAAGAAAACAGATAAATGCAGCAACAGTCCCTGAACAATCTCTTGCTGCCAGAGCTGCTCTCTTCAAGATGAGCTCGACTGAATCCAAATACCCACCATAGACATGCAATCGATACTCACTTGTGTGTCTTAATCAAAAAACACTGAGCTGCTTGTACAGAAGCCCACAGGTTACAGTAAATCTCTACAAATGAATACAACGCTCAGGGTTGGTTGATTGATTGGAAGCTCTCCCTGCCTCCACCCAAACTCTAAGAAGACAGAACTAAACTAAAGGGCCCGAATTCACCCCTAACTGTATCTTTCATCAGTTGACAGTGAACTGCTCCTCACCCTGCTCACGAGTGACAGAGTCTTGCTCTCCTCCTGGTAGCGCAGCAGTGAGATACTTTTCATCAGGTCAGCAGCCAGGATGAAATTCTTTATGCTGATCATCTGGTGGATGTAGAGCTGGGTATCAATGAAAGCCATGCCGGTCAGATCATTGTCCTTCAGAACCCACAGGAAGATCTGCAGGAACACAAAGGTCATTAGACTAGGCTTCATTTTTCGGTTAGGATAGTCTGTCACTAGTATGCCATCCAACATCTACACAGGATACCTCCTTTTAACAGAGTAGAATTTCCAGGCAATTTTCAAGTCCAGTTCTCTTATTGTTTATAAGTATATAGAATATGACACAAGAAGGTTTTTACTAATCCCATCTAAGTGAGGTGCAGCTGCTATAATATGAGACCTTTTGTCCAATGGCTGACACCAGGTACCCGTTGCAGTGGCACAGCGCTGTCACTGGACCCTTCTGTTCCTTCTCATACAGCACTTTGAACTTGTTCTTGGTGAGGGGCTGGCCTGGCTCTGGCACCACTTCAATCACATCCAGGATCAAAATCTGAACACAAAATTTAAACAAGTCTTCAGCAGATGTTTTCATTTCTTATTTTTGTCCCTGTTAAGACACTGAGGAACCCATGTACAGTATTGTTCAAAATAATAGCAGTACAATGTGACTAACCAGAATAATCCAGGTTTTTAGTATATTTTTTATTGCTACATGGCAAACAAGTTACCAGTAGGTGCAGTAGATTCTCAGAAAGCAAACAAGACCCAGCATTCATGATATGCACGCTCTTAAGGCTGTGCAATTGGGCAATTAGTTGAAAGGGGTGTGTTCAAAAAAATAGCAGTGTCTGCCGTTGACTGTACAAACACAAAACTATTTTGTACAAACGTTTTTGTTTCTAGGATTTAGCAATCCTGTGAATCACTAAACTAATATTTAGTTGTATGACCACAGTTTTTTATAACTGCTTCACATCTGTGTGGCATGGAGTCAACCAACTTGTGGCACCTTTCAGCTGTTATTACACTCCATGATTCTTTAACAACATTCCACAATTCATTTACATTTCTTGGTTTTGCTTCAGAAACAGCATTTTTGATATCACCCCACAAGTTCTCGATTGGATTAAGGTCCGGGGATTGGGCTGGCCACTCCATAACATTAATTTTGTTGGTTTGGAACCAAGACTTTGCTCGTTTACTAGTGTGTTTGGGGTCATTGTCTTGTTGAAACAACCATTTCAAGGGCATGTCCTCTTCAGCATAAGGCAACATGACCTCTTCAAGTATTTTGACATATGCAAACTGATCCATGATCCCTGGTATGCGATAAATAGGCCCAACACCATAGTAGGAGAAACATGCCCATATCATGATGCTTGCACCACCATGCTTCACTGTCTTCACTGTGTACTGTGGCTTGAATTCAGAGTTTGGGGGTCGTCTCACAAACTGTCTGTGGCCCTTGGACCCAAAAAGAACAATTTTACTCTCATCAGTCCACAAAATGTTCCTCCATTTCTCTTTAGGCCAGTTGATGTGTTCTTTGGCAAATTGTAACCTCTTCTGCACGTGCCTTTTTTTTAACAGAGGGACTTTGCGGGGGATTCTTGAAAATAGATTAGCTTCACACAGACGTCTTCTAACTGTCACAGTACTTACAGGTAACTCCAGACTGTCTTTGATCATCCTGGAGCTGATCATTGGCTGGGCCTTTGCCATTCTGGTTATTCTTCGATCCATTTTGATGGTTGTCTTCCGTTTTCTTCCACGTCTCTCTGGTTTTGCTCTCCATTTTAAGGCATTGGAGATCATTTTAGCTGAACAGCCTATAATTTTTTGCACCTCTTTATAGGTTTTCCCCTCTCCAATCAACTTTTTAATCAAAGTACGCTGTTCTTCTGAACAATGTCTTGAACGACCCATTTTCCTCAGGCTTTCAAATGCAAGACAACAGTCAGAGTGCTAGTCAGGATGTGTGCAGCTCACCCGGCCCCTGCAGGTGACTTCCTCCCCCTGCATCAGGCAGGTCCCTGCTGCGATGTAGCCCTTCAGTCCGGACACAGTCTCCTGACTCCTCAATGCCACCGTCTTCATACAGGTCACATGTTCCCACTCCTCCAGGTCAATCCTTAGGAAGACAGAGATGTCAGAGCACATTCGCATACCTTCTCAGCTCCTGTTTCATATGGATGACTATATATGACATCTCATCTGCTATGGCACTGTACAGGATCAGCAGTTCATTGCAGAATGTTAGTTTCACTGTTTATGAAGAGCAACACCCATAAATCTTCAATTTATCCAGACAGTAAGTGTCTTTTAAATTGTATTTTTCTTTATTTTATAATGGGGTAAAGATAAATTGACACAAATCGGAAAATTGATACAGGAGTTAGCTTCTTAGTGTTTTTTGATAGAATGCATGTGGCTATTTCTGATGGCCTGTCATATTTACACAGAGATGTTGGCATGCTATAATAATCCACCTAACAGAAAAGAAATATAATCTCACACAATCAGTGCCCTAACACGATACAGAACCTCTGCAAGCCAGACTTCCTTATGTGGTTCAGCGCTTTACAGAAAAGCAGTCGCAGTGACAGTTAACAGTTAATAATAATGCAGAACACATAAAGGAACAAGGGGCAGCACGGTGGCACAGTGGTTAGCACCGTTGCCTCACAGCGAGAAGGTTCTGGGTTCGGGCCCCACCTGGGACCTGTCCAGGGTGTACCCTGCCTTCGCCCGATTGCCGGCTGGGATTGGCTCCAGCCCCCCCGTGACCCCGTTAGGGACTAAGCGGTAGAAAATGAATGAACATAAAGGAACAGGAACAAATGACCCACCATCACCAAGTGACTCACTAAAACAAGGGGAAGCAGCCATGTGAGACGAAACTGTCTACAACTTGAATGAATGACCAATGATTTTCAATTCAAACCCCACAATGCTCTAGAAGCAGCACAAAGCCTCCAGTGGGACAACCTTGTGTGAACCTTTTTTAATGGCTGCCTAATGTCTATGAAAACAAGGTGATCGAATCAATTCTGCAAACTGCACGCTTGTTCTTTAAAAAGGTGCAATGCATAAGTAACAAAGCTTTTACCTTGTGTTGGGAATGGCCTCCCAGCTGACTGGAGAGATGAGCTGGATGGAGAACTTCTCCTGCTGAGGATGAATGTAGCGTTCATCTGCAGTGTGACAGAGGAGAAACAACCATAGACTAGTATAGTCATGAACAGTATTTATGTCTGTGTGCATAAACTGCTGCAATTCTGATGTTTAGAAAAAGTACTACATGCTACAAAGGGCCTCTCAGCTACCTGACTCAGTCAGTTGTAATGCACTAACACCATGTGTCGTGACCGAGTGTGTGTGAACACAGTTTCTAAGTGAACACATTGGTGAAAATATCTGGCTGGAAATGGGAGGTGGAAATGGTTAATTAAAAGTAATTTATAACCTGTTGGAATAATAACTCCAGGAATTCATAAAAAGTGGTTTGCTAAAGAGATATGCAATTTTTTTTAAATAGTAGCTAGAAGTGATCTATAAAGAGTAGGGTTGGATACCAAAACCTGGTGCCAATAATGGCACCAGTTCCTATACAATCAGTATCTACTGGACCAAATCACAGTGCAGATTCTGGTGCCACTTAAATGCCTCCTGATTGAAATATTTGCCCTCTGGTGCTGTGAAACAAACAACACAAGAATCATTGCACGTCCTGTGCCAACGCTATCGTTACAATTATGCTGCGTTCCATTTTCCACTGAGCTTAGAAGCAGGGAATGAACAGAAACAACATTAAAAACATTCCCAATGTCACAGGCACCATTTTAAAGGTATTGTTTTATCGCCAGTATCAGAAAAAACCCAAATAAAGAGTTGAACCAGCTGGCTACAAGAAACAAAACAGTTAAAATAGTCGTTAGAAGATAAATAGGTCAAATAGTAAAAGAAATTGATAAACTGAAATAACTACAAATTTGAAATGTCAAAACAAACAAAAAAAAAACTAATGGCTGAAATGCCCATCTTCTGCCAGGTGGTAGAAGTATGAATTCAAAGTTGACACTGAGGATTCAACTGTATAAAAAATATTGTAACCACACCCTTTTTAAAATAAGTCTTCGATGACATATGGTTTAAAATCAGTGAAGAACCCATCTGGTACAAGGCCGGTGCTGTTGATGAGGGAGTTCTGCAATTTTCTGACAGAGCTGTGGGCATGTTGAGGAAACCACTGTGTGTGACTGTGTGTGCGTGTGTTCATGCGGGACCTCGGTCTATGACTTCATACTCCTTCTCCTCTCCAGTCATTCTTGGGATGCGAGTGCAGGGTTCTTTCACACTGGTGCACACAGCATACACCTGAGAGGGAAACATCCAAAATCACATAAACACATTTCACATCAAAGACTAATCCTTTCAAAGTCGCACTCATTGATTTTTTTTTCTCTTGCAGAAAAAAAAAAACAAAAAAAAACTTTAAGGCCAGAGGGTTTTCACCTCCAGCTTTTCAAAGCAGCCTGATCACTATGCTTTTATTTTTCATGGTGCTATGCAAGTGGAGGTGTGCGAGTCTGGGGAATGTTTCAGTTGGAATTTGTGTCACGCCGCTGCTTTGGTGCCTCTGGTGCTGTGTGGGCTGAGCGAGAGGAACCTTGCCTTGGATTCGACATGGTAGGAAACATAGTGAACGGTGCACCTCAGTGGGATTTTTCTGACTGGCCAAGGGGCATCATAGGACAGATAGGTGGGCAGAACGCTGATCCTCAGCTCACCCTGCGGGATAACACACAGACACAATGAAAACAAGCTGGATGAAAGAAAAATGGAAAGTTAACATGAACCAAATGATAAACTGATAAGGTGAACAATGTCAATCTCATTTTTAGAATAGCAATTACACATGTACCACCCTGTACATAAAATCATTAGGTGACAACTAAACTAGGACTCTTTGAGGTGCTTCATATTCTGCTGTGTGCTCCACTAATGGATCACTAGAGAAAACCAATTTATAATCTGCGGCTCAGATTCTGGGTCAGTTTTGGAGAAATTTGGTTAAATGCTATGGTGTGTTTTGAATTTGTACCAACTCGGACTCTAATTGGCTTCTTCAAAGCAACAGCAGTCAAGACCTGTGGGTATTGTAGTATTCAGACCTGTCTGCCATGTAAAACTACTGTAACAGTTAAAAGTCTGCAATGGAAGAAAAGATTGTCCATTGATTACGGACCCCACCAAAGTGAAACATATCCCCTGTGTACCTGTTTGTTGAAGTAGAGAAAACCTTTGGGGCAGTTGATGTTATGGAAAGGGGAGAAAGACTCAATGGAGCCATCAATGGTCATAGGGTGAAGCCTCATCGCCCCCCGAGAGGTGACCAGCATCCAGTGAGGAGATGGCCCACAGATAAACACCTGTCAACAAGGAACATGGAAAATGACTTCATTTTTTTCAACCTGACATGGTTGATAAAGTTCTTCAAACCACTGATGGTGGGGCTGGAATCCTGAGCTAACTTTTGGGACAGTAACCCCCTTACCCCTGAGTATCCAGAAATGTCCTCGAAGTATCGGAACCGGGTAATGCGACTTTTCACAGCTGAACCGTCCTCGGCTGCGCCGCTCTCTGCCTTCCTGTCCTTCTTAAGCTTCGATTTCTTCTCTCTGAAGTTTATGTTGTGGGGCACCTGTGCAGAGTCATCAATGTTAGGATCCACTTCATCAGAAAATCATGTGATGCAGGCCGTATTTATCAACTTGGCTCTTACTTTTTTGAAGCGGACTTTCAAGTTGTTCTGTGGCTGCTGTTGATCGTATGGGAATGCTTCATAGATCAGAAGCTCCTGCTCCACATGGACCTAGAAGGACAGAAAACAGTCACATTCAAACTATGTATTTTCTTTTTATCACTCAAGTGAAACACACACAACAAATCAAAGGCTCTCAAAGCAAAAACCCACCAGTAAATATGGTCTGCTATGATTGTTGCCAAGTGAAACCAAAGCTACTTCTTTGACTAATGGGATATCTCCTTGACGGGTTACTTCTTCCTTTTTAGCCTCCCCCTGTGTTGCCGATTGGCCAGAGGAACTGTCAACCAGCACCCTCTGACCAACAGGAAAGTTCTTCACCAGGAACACCAGCCGCCAGTCTGGCAGCTGGTAAATCTATCGGAACAAAGGCAAGAACCATAAAACAGTTCATACAGAAACAGCCTCAACAAATTCTTTTTTCACGGATTAAAGTCTTGTACATAATCTTACAATGCTAGAGAATAACCCTAACCTCCATGACACCATTTTCCCTGATGATCATGCACCAGTGTGTGGGCTCTGCTTTGCTCGGGCTTCCCTCACTTCCAGAGGGTGCTGGTGCCACAGAGCCGCGGCTGATTTCCTCCTTTGCAGACGCTGCACTAGTGCTGGAGTCTCCATACAGCATCTCCTCTTCATCATCCACTGTGTTACTACACACATATTTAACAACAATCAGTCCATAAATATGGTTGCATGTTTCAATATGGAGGGCATCTAAGTTCTTACCTGAGGTCCTGGATGACGGTCTCTGCTTCAGACTGACTCCTGAAAAAAGTGTCCTCTTTGACAGAGCAGCTCACTTTGTTTTCTGTGGTGAACATGCCGCTTACGTCTCGGTACGCACACAGTGTGATCACACGTGCTTGCTGTGGAGTGAAAGGTCGTTTTAACCAAGCTGATTGCTGGTATGAGCTACTTAAGTGAATTCTGTGAATCTAGTTTCCAATGAAGGGTGTGCATTTGCATGTTGCCATTATTTTGAAACAGCAGAACCAGCCACTCTCACACAAGAACTTCACTTTGGCCAGTAGGGGGACGATCTGTCAAACAAAAACCTACTATGATAAGTATGATTTACTCACAGTGGGGATCTGTGGTTTCTGCAGAGCCAGCCTTTGTGCCTTTCCCATGTACGAGTCAGTCTTCAGCATAAACATGGTGACCTGCCCCTCTGCAGTCAGGATTATCACGTAAGGATCGGCTATGGAGCAATGCACTATGGGAGAGCCCAGGTCCACGGGGATGAAGTGGAGCTGTTTCACTGAGAGGATTGAGAAAGCATGCCCGTGAATGGCTTTGGTTCAGTTTGCTTTATTATCCATGTCTTCCTCCTTACTTCTATTATTTTTTGCTACTGTAACAAGCAAATGTAGAAAATTTAATCACTCGTGTGTCACCATTTTTTAACATTTTTTCTATCTTTCTGGTCTTATTTTACCTCCTTCCAGCAGCCGGATCCCCATGGGGGAGACTTGGATGATGTACTTATTGTCACCAATGTTTCCAGCGAACACAGTGGGACCCTGGGTGGCGAAACCACTGGTGTCCAGCTCCATGATCTCCTGACCAGTCTGAAGTATCTACACAAAAACAGAGTTAGTTTATACACAACCATAGCCAAGCTACATTAGATAACATACACATTCTATTACATGTTTTTCTCTAGAATCAGCAGAGAGGTTTTTTAAAACTTATCTTTGCATTTGTTCAGATCAAAACAGAAAGATACAAAATGTGCACTGATGTGGTGTTTTTACCATGGTTGAATCTTCTCTGCTCAGAATGAGAAAACCGTGCTTCTTCATATCATCCTCCAGGGGAGGCTCGGTCTTCTCCTCCTCCTCTTTATCCTTCTCCTCCTCCTCCTTTTCTCCCTCGTCACCATCGTCACCAGTTTCAGTCTCTACCCCGTCCTCTAATTCATCGGTTTTTACAGCCTGGGACAGGAGCGAGAAACATCTTACTGTAAAATACTAAGGCACCACTATCTATAACTGAACATGTTTAAGGTTGATTACAAGCTGTTAATTAGGAAATGTAGAAGCAGTACTTTTTTGTCTTCCTTGACCTCACTTGCGATGACTGTCCACATGTCGTGACAACCTGGCAACTCAAACGTAGTGACTACCTGGGGTCGGATACTTCTCTGAGAACAGAATGGAAACTAATCAAAGCATGGAAGAAGGAAAATAACCCAGAGAAACAATTCTAGTGTTGTGACTCACACAAGCTTTTGCTGTGTGCATTCAAAAACAACTCAGAGCATCAGCTTGTGTCTGGGGTGTTTATAGGCTACTCCGTCGATCTCTGAGGCAGCCCTGGTAGACCCAGACTTCACTTTAGCACCATCACTGGACTTGCGGCAGACGACCCTCGCGACCGCAGGTTTTAGGACGGTGCAGTAACAGTTATCGTGCATACACCTAACCTAACTAAACACACATGCATAGAAAACACACACATTCAATGTGGAGGATTTACCTGAAGCACAGACAGTGCACCATTCTTGCCGTAACCAGAGCACACTACAACCTCCAGGTCAGGCTCAGGGTTGCTCTGAAACTGTGGGTCAAACCAAAATCAGCAACCTCAAATAGAATTGTCTGCTGTAGCATCTACAGCAGAAACCAGTGTCCAGAGACTCAACAAAGTGTTTCAAATATCTATACCTCTTCAGACAAGAAAGCAGGCTCCCCCATAGAGGCATTTACACAAGGTCCAATGTTGAGTATACTATCACACACCTGTATGAAAACAGAAAACGTCTGTCAGTCACATTAGACAAAGAGCCACATTTACATAAAAAGCAATAAAACCTTTGGGCTTTCCTACCTCAAAGGAATAGGTGGCCAGCTGAGTGCCTGACTGGGCCTCACTTCCATATACCTCTATCTCATCCACCTCATCTGTCCAAACAAAAAAGTAATAATGCATAACACAGGTTGTCATACATACATGGGGCACCCATCAAAAACTACATTTTAACATACCAGTCCAGTTGGTAGAAGAATCGACTCGCTTCTTTTTGTTTGGTGGTTCCTCCTGGAATTCATTAGAATATGGTGACAGCAAGCTGTCAGATACAAGAGGAATTCTTCCAAATGCAGTGTGTGCTGTACACATTTAAAGACTGCTAAGTGCCTTATATAAACCAACTGCTCTAACTAGAAAGGCACAAAGCAAGTGAAAATAAATGTGTGCAAACCAGTGATGCTTCACAGCAACTTACCTGTTTCTCTTTATCCTTCTCTTTCTCCTGCTTTTCTTTGCCCTCCTCCAGTGGTGTCTCCTGAAGTTTCTCTGTGTACTTCAGGAGCAGAGAATTTCCAAGGCGTGAACCCAGGAAAAGGTAGCCAGGCTCCATGGTCACCATCTGGAGGTGTAAGGCATCAGTTTGGCAAAGTGTTTATGCCTAAATTCCCTAAAAGCTGACAAATATAGTAAATATTCTGTATGGATTTTATATCCTAAAATGCCAGTCATACCTACCTATGGATTTTTGGGTAAAGTCTGATGATTTTATGCTGATTTTTTTTCTCTCCCTGTTAATGTTTTATGGTTTAAAAATTGTAATTCTGCAACATTCAGCAGCTTTAATCTTAAAGTACTGGTGTCCGCCTTCAAACCTCATGTCAGTCAAACCTTAATCCCTCTTGCCTTCTGTGTTTGTCCAAAAAATATAAAAGAAGGGTCTTTTTAAATAAATGTATCATCATTAGACCATTGTGGCTGCAAGCTACAAACTGAACTTACACAAGTTGTGAGGACACTGGCAGCTGCTTTGTCAAAGTGGAAAGCCCGAACACTCCTCATGCCGTCGGTAATGAGGGTCAACACGTAACTGCAAGACAACATCGCCATCAGAACAGAAACAAACTGTCAATACTGTTCACATATGGTGTGCTGGGAATTTTAATGACTCACATTTCTCCTCCTTTCAATGAGATGACCATTTTATCACTGGCAATAAAATCTGACTGGGAACAGTCGAGCGTGAGCTTCACTTCATCCTGTACACCTGTGTAACCAAAACATCAAGAAGTATCAAATGGCGTATATATTAAAACGAGCTGTAGTACAGTTGGGCATTATCAAAGCATGCTTACGCAGTGGGAAGGCTGTAGTCCCAGTTGTCTGAGAATTTAAAGAAACTCCATATGGTGGAACACTTTGGTTCAGATACAGCAATGAATTCACAGCAAACACTACCACACCACCTGGAAAGATTTGATATGTAATCAACACAAAGTAACAACACTTCAACAATCTGGGATAATTCTTCACACTATACAATACTTTTAAAGAATCAGATTCATTCCTGATTAGTTAGTTCTTCATAGCAAGTGTGCTGTTCATTTTAAGGCTGGATATTGATAATCTGATGTGATTCATAATGATTCGTGTACCAAATGTTGCATAAAATGCTTCCTCACATCTCATAACCATCCAGAGTCCCAACAGTCTATAAACTGCAGTGCGTCCACATAGACTGTAATTATTCATGCCAGTTTACAGGTTTGTTGGGACTCAGTGTGGCTAATATAGCCACTCTTTTGGTTAGGGAACAACCGCTCTACCTCCTGAGCCACAGCCGGCCCATAACCTTTTTGTGCACTTTTTAACAACTCGTTATTCACATAGACATTTTACACATCATGCAGCCCACACTGACCCACTTACAACAAGTAACCTCTGCATACATGCAACATTTAACACAGATGTACATTTACTCAGAAAAAGTGCAAATGTAAGGGTTGTCTCAGGATTTCAAGAAGCAATACTGAATAGTTCAAATCACAAATGCAATTAATCTGAAAACTGGTATTTTTATCCTGCCGAAGTTCAGACGTCATAATAAAAGGAGAGAATTGAGGGAGCTCACCGATGGGTTTTGGAACAGCCATGACCTGTGTACAGTCAAAGGGCAGATTGCTGAGGGACCAGATGACAGGATGGACCCTCTGCATGATGTTGAGAGAGATGGCCACAATGCTACAAGTGTCCTGACGCACAGCCACGCGCCTGTGAATGTGACCAATAACAGAGAAAATACCCTTAACCTTTGGTTAATGTATCAACTAGTTGAGGAAAACAAATAAAGTGGGTGTTACAGTATAATTTATAATGTGGCAGACTGACCCAGGCCATGTCTGGTTGGGCTCAAACAGGATGAGCAATGTGGGCTCATAGTAGCCATGCAAGAATTTCATGTCGATGATGTTTAGCAGCTTCTCGTCCAGTTCGCGGACATCGATGATGTAGCTGGGTAGGAAGCTGGATTTAGGTCTGCAGATGAGATGTATAGACAGTGTTATATTCTACATTATCAGACAACATAATTTTTAGGATGCTAAAACACGTTAATAAGCAGAGTGTGTAGTGAACTGCAGGCATACCCTTCTCCAACTCCACCCTCCTGTTCATCAGACAGTGTGTCTTTCCTGAATGGCAACACTACAAGCTTGGTACCATAAACAAGCATTACAGCACAGCGATTCTCTGGATCGACACGGACAATGGGAATATGTACATTCTGGACAAAGCCATCCTAAAAATGTAAAAAGAGTGCAAATTAGTTAAACCGTTCATTCCAACATGCATGTCAACATTTACTCCACCTCAGAGAGAAATTTCACATATTATCCACATTCTTCTTGCTACATACTCTGAGCTCGGGTTCCTCAAAGTAATGAAGAGACAGTGTCTTGAGGTCATGTGTGCCAGGGTCATATTCTACTACAGACAACTAGAGAGAGAACAAACATACCCAGATGTCAGTCAAAAACTGGTTTAGCCATTTAAAAGTTCAGGTAGTTCACAGCTTATGACAATGATACCTTGGCATCTTTGAAACTGAGAAGGAGTGCATCTCTGCTGGCTCCTACAAGCTGCACACTGGCCATGGACATAACATTACCAAAAAGAGAAAAAGATGCCACCTGCTCCAGCTTCTCCTTACGAGATTTGGAATCTGGAAGAGGAGGAGGAGGAAAAAGTGAAGTTGGTCAAAAACTGCACTTTATTTATCAGGGATAAAATTTGTACTTTCAGTTTGATTTCTGGACATACCTGAAGACTTGTCAGCCTTTGATGTACTCTAAAATGATGGCAGAAATGTTACACGTCTTGCAATTACATTTTAAAACTTGACAGAATGAAAGAAGCTAAGAGGAGAGCTATAGTTACCTCCACATCATGAATAATCCTGTAGACAAAGAGTTGAGATGTTCCAGCAATGACCAAATTCTTCTCCTTACTGGATATAAAGTTGCAGTAGACCGAGAACTCCACTGCAGTGGGGGTGTGGGCTTGTCTGTACACAGCATACATCCTGGATGGTTGCTGTCAGCATCTGACAAGTAGAAACATTCATGTCAGGATCACTACACGGTCCCATTTCTTTCAATTAAAATACAGACACCAAGCACTTACTCTCCACACCTTCCTCCAAAATACATACAATGCTGAACTGATTCTAAGATTGTTATTTAATGAATAGTAAGGTGAATACATCACACACCGAATTCAAGTCTGTACGATTTATTAACAGTTGTGGTTTATTTCATTTCTATGCACTGTTGCCTAAAGACAGCATCAAATCTTACAAATCTTTGTAGCTTATTGGGTTTAGCTCATTCCAGAAAACGCCTGAGTGCCTACTTCCTTCACAGGCTTACATATACACACACTACATTATAATATCTGTAACTCTGGCTATTTAACATAAGAGGTTTAATCAGTGGCATTGCTTTAAGAAGCAAAAAGATGCCTCCATTAAAAATAAAAGCTAGCCACCTTATAACTGATCAAAGTTAGCGCTCGGTTTTGTCGGCTAAAACTGATTATTAGCTTTCGCGCTGACACCTAACAAATGTATTTCCTATAACCCAGCTATCAGTTAGTTTCAAATACACCATGTATGGAAAAACCGCTAACGTTAGCCATGTTAGCAAAACGGTAATGTCGCTACTTGTACCTAGCATACTGGCTAGCATGGCACAGCGTCTGCACCTGACTGAAGCGATTTTTTTACATTTTTGGCACCTCTTTGCAAGTCCCGAATTAAATCTGTCAGCATACCTATCAGAGCTTGTAGCCTTAGTGTTTCTTCTTCCGTTCACATTTACGATGTCATATTTTGAGGATTAGTTTACCACAGGTTTACTAACTCATGCTATCCATCATAATAGCTAGGTAAGCTAGTATTTAGCTGTTGTTCCGTGACTGCGCCAGTCTTCTTCTATGACCTTTCTTATTACGGCAGACTTTGCTCCGAGGTGTGCTGCCGCCCCCACAGTTGGAAATGTTGATAGAAGCTGGACTCCATAAGTTGAAAAGAATGACAAAATATTCAATTCTTCAGTATCTATCAGGATACATAATCTCTCACTATCATTGCAAATTATTGACATATTTTACTAGATCAAATTTATCCATTATTTCAAAAGAATGCCCTAGAAAAATAACTTTTCAAAACAAAAGTCTTCACAACTGAGGCAGATTCTTTGTGGACTCCCATGAGTCCCCTCAGTAGACTCAGTCTCAGACTTCTTGCTGCAATTCAAAAGAACAAACTGAACAAAAATAACTTATCACTGTCCCTTCTGTTACAATTTATTTAAGAAAGTAAAAGAAAATTTTGGCAACTGTGTACAAATTTCACTCTGTTACATTTTGGAAAAGATAGGGGTTAAAATTGCACATTTTATTTTAAAATAACCATATTTCTACTTGGTGCATGATACAGTGTGTAAAAATGTCATCAAATTATAACAATAGTATTACTACATGCGCAGCACAGATTTTTCACCTTGATGATCATTCTGCAGTAGAAACAGACCAAACTGTTTGGTAGTTATAACATGTTCCTTTTTCCTTGGTTGTCTGCAAGTTTTAGCCGAGAAAATAGATGGACAGAAAATCAGGTGATGAGGCCCAGGTCAAATATTTCTGAGGGGTAATTATTTTTAGAAGCTACTTTAACTAGGAAAAAAAAAATAAATTATCACCTTGCCTTCACTGTAAAGCAGAGGGCCTGGGACTTTCAACTGCATTTAGGAGCTTTTCTCCGGCTTCAAATTTTCTAATCTGGCCAGAATCTTAACAGTAGAGAGTTACTTCAGGAAAACTCCAAAAACTGAACCCAAAAGCAAATAAATTCTAAATATACTCAGGTCATATCAGGCTTTCTAATGTATATGCACCAACTAATGACTCAGGGAAATAACCTCTTACTGGTAATTAATATTAGACACTTGTGTTTCCCTTCTCGTCACCTCTTCTACTGGCAGACTAAAGAATTACAAATCAAAACTGCATTCACTTATATGCACATTAGAGCAATTATCTGTATTAAGGAAACTCTAAAACTGTTTGCAATAGATCAATACGGTTTATTTTTTAAATCATAACAGTAATATTGTGCTGATAGACCAAAGTAACAAAATAGGGTTTTTGTTTAGCTGTTTGAATTTCTCTAGAAGTAAGAAATGTGAGTGATTTATCAATAGCAAAGTACTATTTAGATAAAAGAAACATTACCAGCTGTACACTAACACATTAGCCCTTCAGAAATCAAATGTACTGTTTTAATTCAAGCCCAAAACATTAAAGAAATGCAGTCCGTTCTCTAATTTTAGGGTTATTGTCAAACAGCGAGGCAGATTTTCCTCAGCGATGGATTCTCTGGCATGTAATGAGATATTCAGGAAAAGCCTGTGTATCATTGAAGATGACAAACATTGAAGGCTTGGTAATGTCGTCTGTCACGCTGTCGTATCTCAGGGGAACATCTCCGGTCTCCTTCAGCGGAGCAGTCTTCATCGAATGGCAACCTTTTGTAAAGTCTCCTGTTAAAACCCTTGACACGAAAATAAACTTGTGTCCATCTGCATTTGGGGGCGAGTACTGATCCTGGACAGACAGCGCGGAGTTGACGGCAAAATAGACCCCCTGACCGTAGACAGTGGCTGTGTGGAGATGCCATGATGTCAGAGACTGATACCCAAGATGAGACGAGTTGAGTCATAAAGCACAACAGTGGTTTTCAAGAACTTACCATTCTTTCCACAGAAGCTTCTGTTAAATCCATGAATGTATATCTCTTTCACACTATTTTCACTTGTGCCGTGATAGAGTCTCCGTTCAACATCTGGGTACGTGGCACGCTTCAGTATGCTCGCCTTCTTCAACTTGTACTGATTGTACAGCAGGCGATTCATCAGCTTCTCCACCTAGAGAAAAACTTTGTTATTACAAACACACCAAATAGTAATTTGCAAAACGTGGTTCATTTTTTTTCACCTGTATGATTCTGATCTTGCTGTGGTATTCCTGTATGGTCTCATAGAAGTTCTTCACCACATTCTGAAATTCATCTGATTCCTCATCAACTTTGGTCACTTCAGGTAATTTTGACAGCAGAGAGTATTCTTCTTCTGTTAACACATGAATTACCTTTTAATTATCTCACTGAGTTTTTACGCTAGTTCTTTTTGTCATTTAATCAACACAGATGAGGAGCACTAAAGCTGATCAGATGCTAAAAATGTCAATAAATGATTCTGATACTGGAATAACTAATAATTATCCATACACTGCTGCGGTGTCATTTGTGTAAACTCTGGTAACTCTGGTGGAAAGTAACCAAGTAAATTTACTCCAGTACTGTATTTAGGTATTTCAGTATCTGCACTTGAGTGGTTTCATTTTACGCTACTTCATACTTTGACATCACTACATTTTAGAGGCACATACTGTACTTTTTACTCCACTATATTTATTTTGTAACTTTAGTTACTAGAACCAGGTTAACAGAAAAATGACAGTATAATCATGAGATTTTATTGAAAGATTCACAAGCTACCCAGCAGTACTTCAAATTATAAGCATGTAAGCTAGTTAAAACTACCTTACCAGCTGCAGCATTAAAGCACTATGAAGTCTCCTTTACCTGGTACATCCTCACCCAAACCCTCTAATTCCAGCAGCTTCCTGGTGATTTTCACAGATTTCCCTGAAGCTATGTTGTGCTCTTGCATCTTTTCAAAGTTGATAGTGTGGGGTTGATTGTCTAGTAAGATGTCTAAATGTTTCAGTTTCATTCTCCAGGCATTCTCAATGAATGCTGTAGCCTCGCGTGAATAAGGAATCATGTCTGAGGAGGCTGGATCATGCTGCACCCACAAGACAGTCCTCAAGATTTCCTGCTCAGATACAGAATTGGTGATTTTCTCCAGCAGCAGCTTCACATCCCACACTCCTCCAGGCACAAAGTCCTTGAATCCAGAAACGGTGACTATGGTGCCCTGAACATCAATCTCGACTGCATGCTTCCTCTTGATCATCTCTAAACACTTCCTGTGGTACTCGGATATATTCTTCACACTCCTGTGTTCGAGTTTCTCCTCAACCTGTCTCTGAGTGACCTTCTTCCCAAAGGCTATGTCCACCCGAATCAGATCACAGCTATAACCTGCGAACACAACTAACTGGATGGTGTTGGCTGCCTTGATGGCATCTTGTAAGGAAACATCTCTGCCCTTCTCCAGTTGGTCTGCCTGGGGGCTCTTATCAGTACCATGAATTAATTCCTTGGACAACTCCAAGGCTTTTTTCAACTGCTCCTCCTCATCCTCCAGGGACCAATGGCTTGACTCCATTGAGTACTGGATGGCTAGAGATAGTTGGGCCTCTTCATCCAGACTGCTAGAAAAGCCCTGGGCTCCATCATTCATGTCAGCATCTGGGTCTGTGAGGCTGTTCAGTCCATCTGCCGTGTACAGGTCCATGTTATCCATATCATTGAGCTGGTCTGAACTGGACGCGCGCTTCAGTTTTTCATCCATGGCTAAAATGGCCAAAAAGAAGCACACATAATTTTTTGAAACTGCACAGAAATAAGAGAAATTACTGAAGAGATGGCTATTACCTTTGTCTGGAGCTCCATTATGAACAGTTTGCATTGAATCTGAATTCAAGTCCTGTGCACGACCATCCATGGACACTTTCTGGAAGTTTTTGTGGGACATCATCTTCCATGCAGCTTCAAAAATGTCCTGGTAGAAATAACAGAATGCCTTTATAAATACCAAATAATTCTGTTGCAGGGAAATCTGAAATACTTCACATTTTCATGTTAGCTTCATGCATCCTGACTTAATGTTGCATTAACTTTGATAAATGTCTTACATATTACAAAACCATATTAGTGGTCTTGCAAACTTCAGGCGATTAACCTCTACCACAGTAATTGAGGACACTTGTTAAAACCAATTTCTACCATCTTGGTGTGCTTTGGAAAAGCACCAGCTTTCATGTTGTTAATGGTCCAAAGCAGAAAAACCGTCTAGTATATTGTTTTAAATAATAAATTATGTAACATTATAACAGTCTGTGTAATCCCATCTCTCTGGTTCACCTGAAAATGGCCTCTCTACTTGGGGCTTTTGTTTTTTATTAAGTGTGGCCCATGAGCTAAAGATGACTATAAACCTAGCAGTGAAAAACATACAGCGAAGCTAAAACATTCTGCAGACAAGACCTGTTCAGAGAAACATTAAACAGCACTGTTCCACTTCCTTGTGTGTGCTGGTAAAACTCAGCACCAGGCTGTATAGAAGAGGACCACTTGTCATGATGAATGACAGCTGAATGAAGCTGCATATCATAGCCTCAAAAACTCAGGATGACACAAAAGCTAACAAAACCTTTGCTCTGTTCCATCATAACGTTACCTGGTGTGGCAGAGGTTTCCAGGGCATATACTTTGGGCTGATGTAGACCTGAAACTTTGACTCCATCTCATTCAGGATACTCCTGCACTCTGGCTCATCCAAAAATCGGGCCACTCCTGGAGCATTTACTGTGATGGTTCTGGTGCAGATAGAGGAGACCACACCTTGCAACACCTCCTCAGCCATTTGACAAGCAACAGCTTGGCCATGGATCTATCAGATACATTCACAAATATGGGAAAAAATAATGAGGCTGAAAATTTTTGAACAAAATGGTACCTGAAATGAATAACAAATGCTCTTCACTCAACAGAAGAAATGCAAATAATTGCAGAATCTAAAGTTCCACCTTTAATCCACAAACGTCCTCTGCTTCTAATGGAAAAATAGATACTTGGTCCATGTCAGCCAGCAGCTGGTGACACTGGATCTGGATGTATTTCAGCATGCCGGGCTCCATTGAGATCACGGTCTCTCTTTCAATGGGTGTAGTAAGAAACTCCAGGATTGCAGTCTGCTTCACACTCTCCATTCCTTTCAGAGTCAACACATCAATAGTGTCTCCTCGCTCTGACACCTTTACAGAGGAGAAACCCAGAACCTGCAGGAACTCGGTCCACTCTCTGCAGGATAAGATGCCCTCATATTCTGTGTTCACCGGTATGCTGATCTGACACAGCTGGGATTTTAAAAAGCTACATGCCTGGTTAGCTGAGTTTTGGGAGAGTGATGTCACCATAACTTTACAGTCACATACAGAGTACATAGTGGGTGACCCAGTTTGATTAATGGTTTGCAGTAAATGTTCTTTGACTTCTTTTCTTGTAAGGAACTGGGCCTTTTCTGGTTCAAGGGTGAAATTAACTTCAGCCATATTGCCAATAAAGTCCAAGATGGTGCGCTCTATCTGCGCCAACATTTTTCTGTCAGTCCCTTCAGTGTGCAGACCATCATCTCCGATTAGAATGGTGACATCTGGGTAAGCTTTTTCAATGTCCTGTAGAAGGGGGCCAAGTTGAAACAAAGCTAATTTTACTGGGTCAGTAATAGCAACATGGCTTGATAGTGTTTCCACATCCACTGTTTGATCCTCCATAACTTCCTTTTCTGCCTCTTCTACCTCCTCATAGATAGCAGGAGGCTCTGATGCCATCTGAGGGGGGAACTGGTTATCAGCACTGACCACCATGGGAGAACTGGTCTGCATCTGAATATCACTCAGAGCCTCTGAGTTTATCTCAGTCATGTCATGGCTTCCGGTTTCAGAGGTCTGTGATCTTATGCTTTCTTTAGGCTGAAGAAAGGTAAAGTATGGCTTTACTATTAGCTCAGCACCATCCAGTTTGTGTTGGAGATCCAGGACAGTGTATGCTGCTGTTAAAACAAATACAGACCTTTTGTTTATTAAGAAAATTGCAATGCCATAACAGGAGTTTCAAAGGTTGTAGAGTGAAAAACCTTACATGTGTAGTTGACAAAGGACACCTTTGCTGTATCCTCTGATAGCATTGTGACCTCATTCACCTTCTGATCTCCACCTCGCTTGCTCTCAAAGTACAAAGTGAGCATGTCTGGAGTGGTTCCAGGATGCAGATTCTCCACCAAGACAGAATCAGTTTGCTCAGTCTGTTCAAGTGTTACCTTGGCCCCATCAAGTGTCCTCCTAGAGATCTTTGCACTAAGGTTTTGGAAATCTGCAGACAAAAAAAACAAACATGTTACACAATGACATGAAGGAAAATGGCAACCTGAATATCCTTATGTTTTTGAGAAACATGGAATTAACAGACCTTTTGAGAAGGGTCTGCTGAGGTGAATGAGGATGAAATCTCTGCCTGGTAAGGGACACAGAGTGTAGTCTGTCACGTTCAGTCCCATCATGTTCTCCACATAGAGCTCTATCATCTCAGTGCTGGTACTAGGGTTGATCCCCCGCAGCAGTAGTCTGTGTTGGTCCTTTGTGGCAGCCTTTCTCACATTCAACTGGATATTATTTAGAACATGGTGCTGTTTAGACAGAACTTCGGCTGCAGCTGTCAAAATAATCAGAAAAGAAATTGAAAAATTTGTATACAGTACAGTAATTTCTGGACTATAAGCCACATCCACTAAATGTAAGACGAAAAAACATGCTGTACATAGCCACAGGTGTCCACGTTGTAACATGAGATACTTCGACAGCCAGATCCATCGCCTGTAACTTGAAGGGGCATCATATGCATTTCGTTGTGTGTTGTCCATGATGAGGGTGTGTGCATGAAGCGACAAACGTAGTGACTTATAGTCCGGAAAATATGGTAAATTAATGGCAAATTCTTGAATTAGACATTTCCTTAGAGCACAGTGGTGCTTTGTTTCTACTGTAGTGCTTATGGAGAGAAAAGCTTTGAAACTGATAGGGGTCTGGGCTGTTGCAGAGAGAACATTTTTTTGGAACTCAGTGTTTTATGAAATTGCAGGATGCTGTTTCTCCTTTAGTTGCTAAATCTAGCTGCATAAGATTAAATAAATTTGATAAGACAGTAGTCAAATTACTACAACTTTCCAGAAAGGTCCTACAAAATTTAAAAACCACAAAGATTTTGAAGGCAGTAAAACATTACACATCCTTCCTAAATATCCTGCCTCTAGCGCCTCAATTTCGCCAGATCCGGGTGTGCTGCATTCTGTCTGTGACCCGGTTCTGATCAGTCCTTTGTACAGTTTCATCCCCCACTGGGTGTGTCTGCAGAGCAGCTCATTGTGGTGCTGATTTTATGTGTAGGCTATATTTCCTGGTTTTTGAGCTGCTACAGTAGCAGGCTTCATTGTCTCAAATTTCTGTTCCTTTTAATGTAATTAGTCTTTTTTATGTGGACAAAGAACACAAACAATTTTAAAAAAAAAAAAGACTACAGTTATTGATTAGATTTAAGTTGCAGTTAAATCACTATGAAACAAGGATCAAAGATATGTGGCTGTGTTTCAGTTGTTAACAATACATTCATCCTCAATAGTCACTTCATAGCCTATGACTCGTATAGATATCTTTCAGTAAAAGCGCTGTCTGATTAACATTGTCAGATGCGGGATCTGTCAAAAATAGACTCAATGTGTATCTTTAACAAGGCAAACCCGAGAGTCACATGTGGGACAGATCAAAGATGGAACACAGCCATACCCAGTGGGAACACAACCACTGACCAGACTGACAGCAATCAACTCTGGCAACCATGTCACAGACGTAATGCAACGCGTTCTAGTGGATCCGGTGGTGGAAACTGGGGGTAAGAAGTACAGACTACATCATGATATTGTCTCAAATTTCTGTTCCTTTTAATGTAATTAGTCTTTTTTATGTGGACAAAGAACACAAACAATTTTAAAAGGACCTAGTGTTAAACAAAAACCAGTCATAAATACTGTGTATATGATCACACTTGCAAAATGTCCCAGAAAAATATACTATGTTTTCACTTGCCTTCTGCCTGTTCAAATACTACTATGGCACGGTTACCCCTCTTCTCCACAGAGACAAGGGGGCCTCCTCCAGAGCGCTTATTCTCAAAGTACAGAGACAGCAGCTCCTCGTCCAGTGCTTCAGCCACCCCCAGCACCTCTACTGTCCTGTCCTCTGGGCTTTCAACTGGCATCCTGAAAAACAGAGAAATATATAGGCCGGTATGAGTCGGATTAATTGGTAAATGGGAAACCTGTAGCCAGTGTTTTACAGGAGATGTCATTTTCTAAAGCATTTACTTGTTCAAGCTTTTCAAATGTGAGGATGTGCTTTTCTCTGTTTTTATGCCACGGTAAATTGAACATCTTTGGGATATGGAATGTAGGTCAGACAAAATTAGCTATTTAAATGTCAGCTTGGGCTTTTGGAAATTATGGTGGTAAAAAGAAATATGCAGATGTTTCCATAACGAAAATAATGCAACATCAATGATACTTAAAATTGTAAGAGATCTTCTGTTGTTATGACCATGTGTATTTGGAAAAGTATAAGATCGAAAACATAAAATACATAATACAGAACATAAAATGTAAAACACAAAGAATGCAAAAAAGGAACTGAAAGTGTCAGGACTCTACTAGGAACTAAAAGCCATTGTAAACATACAGGTATCTTAGATTTTAAAAGTGTCATGACTATAACTACAAATATCAGGTGGTAAACTGTTCCACAGCAGCCACAGTAAAAGTAAGGCCACCCTAATGCTTACACATAGCCCTAGGAACGTCTGGGGCTAGAAGCTGGCTCGGTGAACTCAGTACTCTTTTATGCATATGGGGGAGTAAAAGTTCTGTTAAATAAGGAGGAGCAAGGCCATTAACAGCTTTATAAAAAACATAAAAAGTTTAAAATCCATTCAAACTGGAAGACAATGCAGAGAAAAGGAATGGTGGTTATATGTTTATCAAGTTTCAGTTCACTGTCAAATAACACACCCAAATTCTTTACAACTGGTTTAACATAGGAGGTTAGAGTCCCAAAATTTAGATCAGGACCACTAAGACTAAATGAGGCACCAAATAAAATACACTCAGTCTTACTTTCATTCAGATAAAGAACATTTCTTTGACAACCAAAATGTAACATCTTTCAAACAGTTAAACAGTCACTGCAGTGAGTTACGCTGTTTAAGCTTCAAAAGCACATAGATTTGCATAGTGTCTCCAAAGTGCCTTCCATTGCAGATGGAAGGAGAGATTGTGCTCATCAATGACTGATCCCAGAGGGAGTATATACAGCAAAAAGAGAACTGGACCAAGAATAGAAAGCTGCAGCACCCCTCAGGAGAGAGGAACACATCAGGAAAAATAGTCACCAATCATAACAGAGAAACTCTGCTACTACTACTCCCATAGCAGAGTAATAAGTTTCCAAGTTATCCATAAGAACCTCAATACTTAGTGGCCATTATAAACATCATATGTGTATGGTGAGTTAATTTAATGTAATGTTGCTGTAATTTAGCATCAACAAACTTTAAAAAGGGTAATTCTGGTTAATCTCATATGGGAAGACCCTATTATGTTTTGATTTATTTATTCTTTCTAGCATGTAAAGACAGTTGATATATCAACACACATAATTTTCCACATATCCAACAAATGCTAATCCAATATCAATTTGCTTATACCTAGTACATGCTTGAATGGAGTAGGAAGAAGTCAGACTTATCCAGTCCTACCCCATGACATCATCTTACCATCATTGGTTTGCAAGCAGTAAATCTACATAAATAATTATCCTCTACACCACACAAGTAATATACTAAAAAAATTATAACAGAGTGTTAACATTCTTACATAATTACATTCTTAAATAATTATCTTCTACACCACACAAGTAATATA